TGTTCTTGGGTTCGATTCCCAGCACCCACATGGCAGCTAACAACCATCGGTAACTCCAGTTCCAGGGAATACAATACCCTTTTCTGGCATCTGCATGTATTGCATGATAAGGGTGCACATCTATGCAGGCAATACACTCCTACACATAAAAATAAAAATAATACAATAAGCCGGGCGTGGTGGCGCACGCCTTTAATCCCAGCACTCGGGAGGCAGAGGCAGGCTGATCTCTGTGAGTTCAAGGCCAGCCTGGTCTACATAGTGAGTTCCAGGATAGCTGGGGCTACAGGGAGACCTTGTCTCTAAAAGACCATAAAAAATGGTTTTTTTTTTCAAAAAAGAAGCTTCTATAGTGGTGTTTCCATGTTTTTTTTTTCTGAAGGCCTCCGGTGTTAGTTATTCCTCCGCATACTCCCTCCTCTGCCCTGCTCTAATTCCCCACTGTAATTAACCTGTCCTACTCTTATAATCCTTTCCCCCTTTAGATCACTACATTCTATATGATAATCAGATTTTTATCTTAACCATTCTGATCTGAGGTAAGGTGAAAATTCAAACTAATATTTCTTATGTATTGACAAGTATGTTATTTTTTATTTAATTTTTATTGAGCTTTTGTACATTTCATACAACAGTTCTTAATCAAATTTAGAGCCCCTTCCCATCCATGCCACTGTCCCCCACCAGACCTCATACATTCCACCATAGGTGTAAGTCAAACTAGTATTTTTGTTACGTGTACATTTTTATTAATTCTTTTAAAATGTCATACAGTATATTTTGATATTTTCCCCCTCTTCCATGTCTTCTCGGACACATACCCTCATTCCTATCCACCCAACTTCATGTTCTCTGTTTTTAAACTCACTGAATCTGATTCGTGTTACCCAAATACTCTTGGGTATGAGTCTAGCCCCTGGAGCCTGATCCACCTACCTCTCCCAGTGGTTATCAATTGCCTATTGTTCCATTATTATGGCTGGGCTTTCTTGATCACCTCCCCCTTCCATGCTGGGTTTTATCTGGTTTGGGCTTGCACAGGCCATGTGCATGCTGTCACAAGTGTTAGGGGCTCATATGTGCAACTGCCTGTGTGTCCAGAGAACAAGGTTTCCTTGTATTCATCCACCACCTCTGGCTCTTAAAATCTTTCTACCTCACTTCCTCAATGATCTCTGATCCTTGGTTGAGAGATACATTAACCTATGGATGTAACATTAAGTCATTAGGAGCCAGTTTAAGGCAGAATACTATTAGGATCTCCCCTACAGTCTGTGAGTTGTAGGTTCTTGGCCTTGAAAAGAACACAAATTATGGGCTCCATCTTGTGAAGGGGGCCTTAAATCCAGTCAGAAAATTGTATAAAACAATTCTTAAGCATTTTGACAAGAAAAATGAGGCCACCTTTTCAGAGTCATTTTATAGGTCTATTTCTTGAGTATTATTTTGAATCATAGTTTGAAATTTTTAAATAGTATGAAATTTTTTCCATTGTTCTTGCATCAGCTTTCAGGTGCTATTAACAATAGAATCTATTATTTCTTGCCTTTTTTGTTATTTGGAATAACAGAGAAAATTAATTTATTAGTGTACATTAATAATTATACAAAGTGATGGGTTTCATTTTGACATTTCTGCACATGAATTCAGTATACTTTGATCATATTAATGCTCCTATTTTCCATAGGACCCTTGATTTTCTGAGTCTGACTTATTGTACGTAACATCATGGCTTCTAGTTCCATCCATTTTGCTGCAAATAACATATTTTCATTCTGCTTTATGGCTGAATAAAACATCTAATGTATGTATATAAATATCTCATCTTTTCTTTTTCCATTCATCTGAGAGACACATAGGCTGATTCCATGACTTGGCTATTTTAATTGTTACATAAGAAACATGGAGATTGTGTTAGTTACTTTTCTGTTGCTGTGATAAGATACCATGACCAAGGGAACTTATAGAAGGAAGAGTTTATTTTATCTTATAATTCCAGAGGCATTAGAGTCCATCATAACAGGAAGACGCGGTGACAGGAGATGACCAGAGCAGAGAGTGAAGCACTCACATCTTCAGGCAGACACAGGAAGCAGAGTGCAGCTGAAAATCTGGCAAGGCTTAAGAATCTCAAAACCAGACCTCAGTACGTGCTTCCTCCAGCAAGGTCACCCCTCCTAAAATCTCCCAAAACAGCACCACCAACTGGGGACAAAATGTCCAAATGCTTGGAGCCTATGTGAGACATTTTTATTCAAGCCACCACAGAGATATGTCTATCTGTTCCATGTTGTCTTAGATTCTTTGGGGGGGGGTGTGTACTTAAGGGTGGTATAGCTGGATCATAAGGCAATTGCTTTTAGTTTTGAGGAAACCCCATATTTATCTTCATACTGACTGGACTCACTTATATTTCTTTTCTTTTTCATTTATATTTCTACCAGCAGTATAAAAGGTTCTTTTTCCTCTGTGTCCACACCAACATTTGCTAATTTTTTCCTATTCTTCATAATGGCTATTCTCACTGGGTTGAGATGGGACGCCAATGTTATTTTTTGTTTTTTGTTTTTTGTTTGTTTTTGAGACAGGGTCTCCCTGTAGTCCCAGCTGGCCTGGAACTCTCTATGTAGATCAGGCTGGCCTCGAACTCACAGAGATCCGCCTGCCTCTGCCTCCCAAGTGCCTTTAATGTAATTTTTGATGCACGTTTCCCTGATGGCTAAGGATGTTGAATATTTTTTCATGCATTCATTTGCCAGTTGACTTTCTTCATTTGAAAGTATATGTACAATCCCTTTTCTATTTACTGACTGGATTATTCACTGTTTGGGTATTTAATTTTTAGATACTTATATATTCTAGATATTAATCCCCTGTTGAACAAATATCAGAAAGATTTTCTCCCATTCTGTAGCCTTTATTTAATCTGATCATTTTTCCTTTTACTTTACAGAAGCCTTACAGTTCCATGCTGACATCCTATGTGTCGCTCCTTCTTATTCCCTGAGCTATTTGAATCTTTCAAAAAGAATATTCATAGACACACACTCAAGATCACTTGGAAAACACAGATTAGACTCGATAGGTAGGCCTTTACAATTTTTTTAAAAGACAAAATATAAGACAAGAAGTCAGGGGAGGAGGGTCATAACCTGGGGAGGGAGAGGGGGAAGAGGTTCTGAGTATGACAAAATAAATTGTATGTAATGCTTGAGTTGATAAAAATATTTGAAAAACATAACTATATTCATAGATCTTGAACTATTGCCTTTGTATTTCTATAGAAATTTCAAAGTTTCAGATATTGTTATTTGCTATATTTTGTGCTTACTTTTGTACAAAGGCATAGATATGATGTATTTTAATTGTTTTGCATGTGGATGGATATTCAATTTTCATAGTACCACTGATTAATGAGAATATTTTCCAAGGTATTTTTAGGCACCTTTGTCAAAACTCAGATGATTGAAGCTGTTTGGACTTATTTCTTGATCTTCCATTTTATTGCACTTGTCTGTGTGTCTTTTTGTACTAGTACCCTGCTGTTTTCTTACTATTAATCAGCAGCATAAGCTGAAATCAAGTACTGGGATACTTCCAGTATTTCTCTTCTTGTTCTAGATTATTGTCTATTTGGTGTTTTTGTGTTAAGTATAGTAATTTATTTTAAATATGAATATTTTTTCTTCTGAATGATAATTCTGTTGTATGATACAACTGAAATATCAATATTTATCCATTACAAAATCTGGTGTTATCTCAACAACCCTGAAAAAGAAGAATAAAATTATTTGGGAAATATATTAAAGGAGAAAGGAAAAATACAGAATTGTATATATCCTCACACAAATGTGGTTACTCAGGTAACTGGGTAAAAAGTGACATCATAAATCAAGATATGCCATAAAGGACAAAGGTCAGACTTTGGCAGAATGTAATTCAAGGTTCTGCACATTGAAATCAAATTGCCACAGAGCCTCAAGGGGAGATGCCTACTGAGCAGATGAGAGCAGCAGGGAGATCTGCAGGAAGATATGGGATTCTCATGGATATACAGAGGTGAGCAGTGAATAAGGGATGATGAAAAGGGTGACTTTGGATTGCATAAGAGGAGACAGCTAAAGGAATGAATCATCATGTCTGGATGGTCCCAAAAGATTGGCTGCACTCTTCTCTCTGAGGTAGGAGTAAAGGAGAAGAATCTGGACTCACACAGTCTTATATCATACACAGGCTCAGCTATTCACACTGGGTAATGTGAACTCACATTGTCTTCCATCATACACAGGCTCAGGTATTCACACTGTATGATGCGAACTCACAATGTCTTCCATAATACACAGGTTCAGCTATTCATACTGTGTTTTGTAGTATATTTACTGAACTGCACTTTCAATTTGTGAAACAAAGATACCTCTCTACATCCTTAGTCATGAAGAAGAAAAAACATAGGTATTAAGTTATTTGTGAAGTCCAAAATGCCAAAAGTCCAAATAAAGAAAAGAGTAGTAGCCTTTTAAAATGAATTTTCTATCAGCCTCTGGCTTTTTTTCTTCATTACTGGAAAAAAACTATAGCCCAAGGTACAAGGTTATTCCCAGGAAAATACTAGGAATTTTCTGTAGGACACATGGAGGACAGATTAGAAGGAATCTGGGAAGTTGAGATGCCTGGATGTTATTTAATATTGTGCTAAGATTGTGGAGTATATCTGAAAAATGATATCATGGAGAAATCAGGGTTCTGGAACATTTTAATCATATAAGGAATGGAAATATCTTAAAACCATGGATCTTATGCTACACTTTCCTAGGATCACGTGGTCAAGACAAGGAGACATAGTGAGGTTTCTAGTGAAAGGACACATTTTACATGCTGAACAATTATATAGCGTTTTACTTTACGAGAACACTCCACAGTGGGGGAAAAGTAAGGAATATTCCATTATTAATATCAGTACATCTACTAGGCTATGGTATAAAAATACCAAAGGGTTACCATCATGGACAGAAGAGAATTTTCTTTTGAAGGACTCTTATCAGGGCTCCCTTCATGTCTCTGTTCCTCAGGCTGTAGATGAAGGGGTTCAGCATGGGAGTCACCACTGTGTACATCATACCCATGACAGTCTCCTTCACAGTAGAATTATTAGCTGATGGGCATAAGTAGAGACCAATTATTGTCCCATAGAACAGTGACACCACAGACAGGTGGGAGCCACAGGTGGAGAAGACCTTGTGGATACCTCGAGTTGAAGGGATCTTGAGAATGGAGGAGACAATCCGTGCATAAGACACTACAATGAGTAGGAATGGAATTACAACCACAAGCCCTCCCATGATAAATACTACCAGTTCATTAACACGAGTGTCAGAGCAGGCCAGCTTGAGCAGAGCAGACAGATCACAGAAAAAGTGCGGAATCACATTGTTCACACAGAAAGACAATCTGGTTAAGAGCAAGGTGTGCAACATGGCATGTGACGTGGTCAGCACCCAGGACAGCACCACCAGACAGGCACAGAGCCTAGGGCTCATGATGCTGCTGTAGTGCAGAGGGGAGCATATGGCCACATAGCGATCATAGGCCATGGCCACAAGGAGGAAGCTCTCAAGGTCGGCAAAAAACAAGAAAAAGTACATTTGTGTCAGGCATCCTGCGTAGGGGATGGACATTACTGAGCTCTGCATGTTCTGCAACAATTTGGGCACTGTGACAGAGGAAAAGCAGAGGTCAGAGAAGGACAAGTTGCTGAGAAACAAATACATGGGTGTGTGGAGATGGGAGTCCAGTCCAATGAGGACAATGATGATGAGGTTCCCCAGGACGGTGGTGAGGTACATGGCCAGGAACAGGGCATAGAACAGGTGCTTGTGCCCTGGTGGGATGGGCAGGCCCAGGAGGAGGAACTCTGAGATCACAGTTTGGTTGTGTCCTTTGTTTCCTCTCATTATCTCTCTATAATGCCTACAAAGAAAAAATAGGATCACTCAAAACTCCATATAAAATGAATACATAGCTAAACATATTTTTAAATAACTGATCTCACATGCATCATAATAATTATAATCTCTACATTCCAAATATTTGTGGTCATGATTTCTGCAGCTAGCCATAAATGATTTAGTTCCTTAATTTCTCATGTATGGTTCAACGTTTCATCCTTTTAACAATGTTCTTGTCTGAGATACAGGATACATTGGCTTTTCTCATCCTTGATAGTCATCCTCGGTGATTATGATTTGCATCAGCCCTGTCAGTTTCTTGCATTTCAATATTCCCCAGGCCTTTGCCAAAACTGTATCCTTTTATGATTCTACATATACTCCAGTGAAAAATTCATGTACTCAAATGGCTTAGATTGATGTTTAAAATTCTGGTTAGTCCCTTTGAGTTGTTCATCCGTGTAGTACAAGAGACTCCAAAAATAACACAGGCTACTGTCAAAGCCCTTGATTACCTCCCAGAACTTGAAGGTAAGACCTTATTGCAGAAGGCAAGTTATACTTCAGACACAGGACTTGGAACAATGGATCTGAAACTGACCTGGAAGCCTCCTCCCTGAAGACCAGCTCTCATAGCTCTGGAGGACATTATGCAAGCTTCTAAGGGAGAAAAATTAATCAATGATCCAACCCAGCTGTGAAGCCTGATAACCACAATGATTAGCACAGAAAGCTATCTCTTTTGTGGCAGTAGTGGCACTTTTTATCTTGTGGGCAATCAACAGTTTTGTAATTGGACTTAAAGCCCTCTCAATGGGAGACAACTCATAGGTGGCACTGTAATTATAGCCAAATACACAGGGCTAGAATGGTCATAGACCCTAGAGAATATTGCATCTCTGTCATATCTCTAGACACATAAAATTTGTTACTGTATGCTAAATATGAATCCTTATATTTACAGACAAGTATACCATACAAAACTCATCAAAGAAACTTCTTTTGCAGCAGACAGAATCTATTACAGAGTTCCACAACTGGTCATGCAGAGAGAATTCATGTCTGAGAGATGCCCAGCTTAAGTGACACATCTACAGTGAAATCTTGACACCCAAGGCTCATGGAACATAGAACAGGAGGTAGAGAGAATGCTAAGACATCTCTCAACTCCGTCAAAGCTTCTTCATACAACAGAGGGTGATGCACACAGAGGGCCACAACTGGCTAAGTCACTTAGCCTGCTCCTCTTCCTAATCACCCTCCTTTCATCTCTCTTAGTAGTGAAAGAATTCATGATCAAAACAGAAATTGGGAGTTTTATTTCATTCATTCATTTCTCTACATTCCATCTCACAAGACCTATAGATCCTAAACTACTTTTTTTCTTTAATTATCTTTGGCCTAAATATTACCATTTTAGGTAAAGCTATTATCTCACTTGGAAACTGACTCTCAATTCATCTCCTGTTTCTGAGTTTCAATATTCTTTTTCAACAACTTTTTATTATGCTTTATTTCTAAAATGAATATTCAGTCATTTGCTTAGTGGACTCTGACTGTTTTTAAGAGTAAAAATAAATTGGTTTATCTGGGCCAACTTTGCGGCCTTAAACATCCAAAAGGAAAGTATAACCAAAGATTAAAGGGGTCAATATAATTTCTTAAGAGTCCATATGCATAGATAAAG